TGGGATTTGCACACGTCTGGGTAGGGAGGACAGCATCTGCAGCGAGCCATGGCTGCCAGAACGCGCGGAGCTGAGCGCTGATACGCCTCCAGCTCCCCAATGTGCTGGGGCTGTGGTCTCCTCTGCATCCTGGCCGTGGAGATGCGCATTGCCAGGAGCAACTGCACAGCCCCACGGCGCATCTCATCCCGCCTTGGCCAGGATGGGACCGGGACAGCAGCGCCTTGTTCCTCCTCACGTGGATGCTGGTTTAATTTGCTGAAGGCTTTCAACGGTGCACATGGTGTCTCTGGCTCAGCACTGCCAGGAATATGAGCTTAGCGGAGCTGGAGAGGACTTTTTTTAAAGCGCCTATACAAACATGATTTGTTTTGTAATAACTCTTCTGTTTTGTTTTGAAGGGGATGATGGCTCTGGGATCTGAGGGGCTGGAAGACAGCTCTGAGCAGCTCAAATTCCTCCCCACGTGCTATCAATTAACGTCTTCATTAAACACCCAGATCAAAGCTGCTTCCAGCCAGAGCATGACAGCGCAACAGAGCTCAGTTTTGTGAAGTTGCCTGCAATTGGTGACAAATTGAGAAAGGGCTTGGCTTGTCCTCTACCAGCTACACATGGAATGGGAGAAGGCTGCAAGAGGAGAGAGCAAGTGTCCTTCCATCACAGTCCAGGCCAAAAAACAGGACTCAAGCCATGGCACACAATGAGGGACGTGCTGCACATGTGCTTGCTGAGGGTCCCTGTGGGCCACCTCAGGTCCTGCAGGTGCCCAGAGCATCTCCCCATTGAGTTGCTGAAGCATGACCTGGAGTTAATCGAGCAAAGCATGAAGGCTGGAAAAGTCATCTGGAAGGAAACGAGACCACAACGTTGTCCAGATGGATATTTTCTAGGGGCTCTCCAACGCATCTTCTGCCACTACTTTATTTCATCCATGGTCTTCTAGGAGCCCTGCCCTGCTGGTGTCCCAGTTGTTGTCTGCACCAACAAATGGAAATGGGACCACAGTTTTCCTAATACTCATAGAGCAGCAGGGACGGTAGTGTAGGGCCAGGAATGTTGTGACATCTGGGGAGATAACTTCTCCCCACACATTTTCCCACCATAATGCCCAGCTGCAAGCCACAGCAGCACGTGAGGTTTGGTCTTCATCATATCCAAAAAGTCATGGCTGTCAGGTGAGGACCCCAGTGACTGGAAAGAGGGAAACATCACTCTCATTTGTAAGAAAAGTAGAAAGGAAGTCCCGGGGAACTACAAGTTGGTAATGTCATCTCTGTGCCTGGGAATATTCTGGAACAGATCTTCCTGCAAGAGATGTCAAGGCACATGCAAGATGCAGAGGTGATCCAAGACAGCCAGCATAGCTTCACAAAAGGCAGATCATGCCTGAGCCATCTGGTGGCCTTCTTTGATGGGGTGATGGCATAGGTGGACAAAGGAGGGAAAACAAATGTCATCTTCCTGGACTTGTGGCAGAGCCTTTGATATGTTCCCACATCACATCCCTGTCTCTAAACTGGAGAGAGATGGATTTGAAGGGTGTACTATTTGGTGGATAAGGAATTGGTTGGATGGTCACAGCCAGAGTGTTGTGGTCAATGGCTCCATGTCCAGGTGAAGGTTGGTCAGGAAGGGTGTCCCCCAGGGGTCCATCCTGGGACTGATGCTCTTCAACACCTTTATCAATGACACAGACGTGGGACTGAGTGCACCCTCAGCAGTTTGCTGATGGCACAACAGAAGGGAGGGATGGCATCCAGAGGGACCTGGACAGGCTCGAGAAGTGGGCACACGAGAACATGATGAGGTTCAGCAAGGGTGTTGTACTTGGGCTGGGGCAATGCCAGATGGATCTCTCACAGGGGAGAACTCCTCGTGGCCTTCCAGTGCTTGAAATGAGCTTATAAACAGGAGGGAAGGGGGAGTGGCTTTTCATGCAGTCTGATAGAGATAGGACAAGGGGGAATGGCTTTAAACTAAGAGGGGGGAGATTTAGGTGAGATGTGAGGAGGAAATCCTTCACCCAGAGGGTGGTGAAGTGCTGGCACTGCTGCCCAGAGCTGTGGGTGCCTTGGGAGGCCAGCCCATAGCCGGGATGGGACTAAATCCATTTAAAGTCCCTTCCAATACAAACCATTCTATGATTCTATGATTAATCTGGGGCTTGAGGGAAAATCATAGCAAAAAAAAAGCTGTTCCAACACATCATTTGTGGGGTCTTTCTTGTTTCTTCCCAGTAGAACCACCATTTTAGCCATAGTATAAATGTTCGAAAAGGATTGTCGGTTTCAACTAATGGTATTCTGCAAAGTTCTTGAGCTAGAAGCAGCTTGTCAATATTCACACTGTCCTGTTCCTGTGCTTGCTGTATTTTTGGTGTTTTTTTTGATATGAAGATGAGTCTGTTTAATGTCTAATCAGTTGTTGTTGTTCTTTAAAAGCTGAAAATAATAGGAGAAAGCAAAAGAAAACGAAATAGAAAACATAAAAAGCAATGGTTTCCTCTCCAGTTTTTACTTTTGTGTCGGCCCCTGTTTGTACGATGTTTTAGTTTCCAGGTCGCTTTGGGAACAGACCACTTCCCTGCATCCCAGGAGCCTTCCTGGGCTGCAAAGCCCCAGTGCTGCCCAGCCCTCGGGCGGCGTTGGGGAAACCTCAGGCCAGGAATCCCAGACACACTGAAGCAGCCGGGGCTTCCCACCACAGGACTCCCTTCTCCACCCTCCCAAGCGTCTCTGTGGTTGGGAAATTACAATCTCGGTGTAAAACTGGCGTTGTCCAGCCCAGCTGCCCATGGGAAGTGGCTTTGCCCACACTGCACAGCGCTCAGCGGTGTGTGGCTTCCCTCAGAAACCCAGCCTGTCCAGGAACGCCAGGCTCTGTCCTTGTGGGCATCTGTGCCAGGATGGAAAGTGTGGACACTGAGCAGCCCTCGGCTCCCCGGCACCCATCGGAGCATCCCACAGTTCCATGACATAGCAGTTCTATTTATTACCTGGGTAAGCAGTGGCTGCAACAGGAATTGCACAGAGTTCCTGCAGCTGATAGAGCAATAATTAAGTTCGTCATCGCGCAGTGCCAGAATAGCCCTGGATCTGCCCCACTCCTTCAGGTGCTGGTGTGGCTCTTGCTTGTTTTCTCGCCTCCTGTTTGAGGCAGCTGGAAGGAAGGCTTCCTCTGCTGCAGCATGTCTTGGGGTGGGCTGCAGCATCTCCTGTCTGCGGACATTGCAGCTGCCTTAACAGAAAGGGAAACTCCTCAGCCTTCCCCAGAAACCAGAACCAAGGCAAGAAATTCCTCAGTGGGAACACAAGAGAGAAGTGTCCCAGGGAAAAGAAACCCAAAGCAAACAACAACAAAAACCCCACGTCTCAGCCTCAGAGAGCCAAACCTTGGGAAACATAAAGCTGGATTTGTTTGAGCAACTCCTCTTGGATGGGAGAAAAGAAAAGCAGATGCCTCAGAACTGGTGCCAACAAGCTCCTGATTTTGGAGGGGGGAAATGCAAACTGTCACATTTCAGGTTTACTTCTATGAATCTGTGCAATGCAAGCAAGGCACCGTGGGGTGATGTCTCTCCTGGCATTCTGAATTAATACAGCCCCTTATTTGCCTTTGTGGAACCATGCCAGTTTTCTCCTGCTGAGCTCCTGGACCTGGGTCTACCTCAAAGCAGACGAGAAAGGCTGTCTGCCAACCTGGCCACACCTCTCCCTGCACTGATCTGCTTGCAACTGCTGCTGCTGACAGGAGTGGATAGGGATGCAGGCACCCTCACCAAGCACAAAGCGTTCTGCAGCATCATTTTGGTGCTCAGCATGGATGGGAGCATCCAGCTGCTCTCAGGGAAACCCCAGAGCACGCGGTGTGCTGGCTGAACAGCAGCAGCCAAGCCATGCTGCCAGCAGAACACTTCTCCTGGGTCCAGGTTGGTGCTTGGCGAGCTGCTGGTGATCCCCAGCACTTTGCTGCCCTTCTCACCCCTGGGGAGTATTGCTCACATCTGCCCTCACGTGGAGGAGATGCTTAAGGGTATCAAAGATGTTTAAGGCCCCCAGTTATGCAGGGTTGGGTGAGGTTTGTGTACATGTGCATGATGCCAGAGGGGATGGCAGCTGATGGCCACAGTGCATGGAGCAATCCTGGGCTTTGGGCCAGTAGGTAAGTGCTGGCCCTGCTGGGTGCAGCACTTGGTCTGGGACATACGCAGCCCACGGTGGGCATGCTGGGGACAAGGGCACTGTTGGGACAGGGACATCTGCACCTCATGACACTGGTATGCAACTGGCCCCCGGGTCCCTCCTGCAATTCAGCATCCTTCTTTTGTTGAAATACAAAAAAAAAAAGGGATTGCTATGAACAGAAAAAAAATGATGCTTCTCCCAGCTCCAGCACTTCCCAGTAGCAGGAGGAAGCAGAGCTGAGGACTGGTGCTCCAGGGACCTGCTTCCATGGCACACGTGAAAGCACAAATATGGAACTGGAACCCACTGGAAAGTGGCTGGCTGAGTTGGTGTCACCTGTGCCATTAGCACTGAGCAGGGAGACCTTTTCTCTAGGTCAATTGAAGGCAGAACGTCCACCCCACCTGCCCCCCTGTGGCTCTGAGTGTCAGGAGCTGTCATGCCCTGGTACTGTGTTCCAACCACAAGAGCCCGCTGTGTGTGTAACAGCCCCAAAACATTGGTGTAACACCAATGTCCCACACGCAGAGCCTGGCTCCAGGCTGGTCCTGTCTCCTACAGCATCCACAGCTCTGAGCACTTTGAGTTTTACCGTGGAACCTGCCCCACATAGGGCCAACCCAGTGTCTGCCCCTGCAAGGGCAGGAGGGCACCAAAGGGCTTCAGGATCCATTGGGAAGAAAACACAGTGATGTGCACATTGAGACATTCAGGAAGAGCAAAACGTGAGAAGATGTGCACAGCCCTGCATTAACGGTGAGCTCAGCCCAGGGCTGCCAGGAGCCGGGCACCAGCTGTGCCATCTCAGCTCTGTCCAGATCTGGGTGTCCCCTGGTGTGCATGTGGCCATGCTCTGCTCTGTGCGCTCACCCCATGGAGGCTGCAGGACCATAGGCATGCATTCAATGACATGTCTGCAGCCATCGGGCTTCCAACACCAGACTGGGACAGAATACCTCTAATGCTGCTCCCACGCACACTGTGGAGTGACACAAACCTTTGCTGGGATGGGAGCATCCCATTAAAAACTGCTGGGAAGAATTAGCCCAGCCACTGAAAGTGCGGGTAACGTGGGGGTAATACAGGGTTAAGGAGCAGGCGCTGCCCATCAGGCCACAAGGAGAGAGCGGTACACGGTCAGCAGCAGTCACCTTTACTATGGACCACAGGAGATCAGAAAAATAACCTTGGGAACAAGAGACCTAGGTGCTAAGTGTCATGCTGTAGGACATACAAGAGGCCACTCACAATCACCAGGACAGAACGGCAACCGAGGAGGAAAGGCAGTCCCGCGGCGGTGCTGGGCGTGCTGCAGCCGTGCCCCATAGCAAACCCAGTGTGGTGGTGTGGGCACAGCTCCATGCACGTGTGTGGGGCTGTCGGCGTGCCTTCCTTCGGCCTCTACAACAATAACAGTGTCCACACCTCCTACACAACTCCAGTGTCTCTAGCACAGGTTTTTTTTTTTGTTTCAGGAAAAAAGAAAAAAAAAAAAGCATTTTGTTCTGAGAAGGGTGTGCAAGAGCTGTTCTCTGGGTGCAGTGCAATGAGGATGGGTGGGAGATAAACTCCCATCCCAGTGCCGTTCCTGTGCACCAACACCGCAGCCTCCACCAGCAGCGCCCTGCAGGTCTTCCTTCTGCCAACCCTGGACAAGGATGTCCAGAAAAAAAAAAAAAAAGAAGAAGAGGAAAAATAATAATAAAAAAAGAGTATTGCTGCTTCTTCTCATAATATTTTGTCCTCTCTTTTTCCACCCCCCTCCCAGCCTTCCCCTTAAAAATGTTTGCTTTCAAAAATTCCATTCCTGCAAAGATTCCTCCCAAGCTCTGAGGTCTTCGCGCTCCACCCTCGCCTTCTGCAGTCAGAACAACTGAGTCTCGACGTCTCTTTGGTTAAAAAAAAAAAAAAAAGAAAAGAAAGGAAAAAAGAAAGAAACACCAACAAGAAACACACAGCCCAGTATGATCCCATTCCACCCCGCGGACGCCTGATGGGAGGGTGTCTGTGGAAGAAGGAAGCATCAGAGACGCGCCGCCTGCCTTGGGCTGTGCTCATACGGTGGTTGCCGGCCCGAACTGCAGCACCAGCGGCGACGTCTCCTTAATGCGGACGTAGAAGCGTCCCTCGGGCCGGGCAGCCTGCAGGGCCAGCGGCCGCGCTTCGTCGGGCAGCCACCGCTCGCCCTCCTCGGAGGCAAACACCAGTCCGAAGTGCTCCAGCTGCTCCTCGCCGTAGCAGAAGGCGGCCAAGCCACCCAGCGCACCGTGGGAGACGTCGTTCATCTGCAGCACCACCAGCTTCACCACCTCGCCGGCCGACGTCTGGCTGGTGACGTGTAGCTGCAGAGAGACAGAGGTGGGAGACGGGCGGTGAGGGGGGCACGGGGCAGACCGCCGGGGAGAGGCGGATCCCTCGGTACATCCCTGACAGCTGTGCCCGGCCGGGTGGTCCCGGCCCTCAGCCCACATGAACCCTGTGGCTCCGAGCGCTCATCGAGGGGCTCTGCTGATTTATGCCAGCCAGGAGCCTCTCCTTTGAACTCAGTTCTTCGAGGAGAACATCTTAAGATGCTGTCAAGCAGGCGTGTCCTGAGCTCTGCAACTTCAAATGCCACGTGGGCAGCCTGCCAGGAACCCGGGGGCTGCGCTTCAGTTGCACAGAAATCTATGGGACTTTCTTGAATGGAAAATAAATTCTGCGAGTCAGCCTTCCCTCTGCTTCCACCATCCCCGCTGGGTGAAGAGAACCCGGCTACCAGAGCTCCCATCCGCCCCTCTGCCTGCAGGGAACTGAGTGGGGCAGAACCCTGCAGTGGGACACAGCTCGTCCTGCACCTCTGAAGGCACGCACACACACACACACACACACACACACACACGGAGGAGAGGAGCAGAGGCCGTGGAGCCCTGCGTGGCACCACCTTGCCTCCTTCCCCCCTCACATCCCTTACAGCCCAGCCCAGGCTCTCAGCAGCGCGGGCTGCGGTGACCCCCGCCCTGCAGCAGGGGTGGACAGGAGCCGGGTCAGCAGCCGTGGTACCCCTGCACGGCAGAGGATGCAGAGGGCAGAGCCAGGCGAGGGCCACGCATGCCCACGGTGCCATCCTCCCCCATCCTGCCTGGGCACGGCACAGCCACACCGCTGCCCTCAGCGGGCGCCGGTACCTTGACGCTGGTCTCTTTGGAGAGTCCGGTTTCGTACTGAGGGCAGACCCGCAAGGTGACAGAGCCCGGCTTCTTCCCAGCGGGTTGCTCTGGCGGTTCCTGGAAGCTCGGAGTCCACTCGGCCGAGCGCGTGCGGCCGTGCTCGGGGCTGTGCGTGGAGCCAGTCCCTGGTCTGCCCTGACCGCCGTGCCCGCCGGTCCTGCTCTCCGTCGGGGAGCTGTCGACGGAACCAGGACACGACTTCCTGGCCACCGGGCAGAGCGGCTTGGGGAAGTCCAGGCTGTTGGTCCGCACGCAATAGGCCTGCCGCTTCTCTGTCACGCGCAGCAGCTCGATCTGCCGGCTGGGCAGCACGAAGTCGCTGTCGTAGAGCTCTGGGGGCGGCCGGGGCTCCGGCAGGGCCAGCGGTGCGGGCTGCAGCTCGTGGCTCTGCAGGACATCGGGGGCACTGTCCCGCAGGCTGCGCGCCGCCCGCCGCCCGCAGCACTCGGGCCCCAAGGACACCAGGTCGAGCTCCTTGGGGCTCTGCGCCCTGCTGGAGTCGTAGTCGCTGTCAGTGGCCAGGAACACCTCGGAGGAGCCCTCCTCGTCCGAGAGCCCATGCAGGTCTGTGGGGGAAGCACAGAGGGGCTGTTGGCCGCTGGGTGTCTGCAGCGTGCTGGAGCCGTGCGGTGCCAGGTCCTTACCGGAGCTGAGCTTACGGCTGCTGTCTGGTGAGGGTGCTGGGGAGGGAAGGAAGTCGAGGTGGGATGAGGAGGAGTGGGTTTTCTCCTTCATGGCTCCGCTGGAGGTGCTGAGGAAGCCGTTGAGGGACAGGCCGCAGGAGGGCTGCTTGTAGCGGGCATGCTGCAGGGCATCCATCATCCAGCGCATCTCACGCCAGATCTCCTCCATTTGCTGCCAGATCAGGAAAGAAAGGATCCCTTTCACAGAACAAACCACCACCACAAAAAAACCTGAGCCAAACCCCCGCCTAGCCCCACACACTTTTCCTGAGAGGCCCAGAGGAAGCATCCCACTCTCTAACCAGGACTTTAACACAGCTACTGTAGGATGAACTCACCAGACCAAGTCCTGACGCTGCAGCGTCCCTGGAGCAAAGCAGCACACAGTCCCCTGGGGACGATCCTGCAGCCCTCCCAACACATCCCTGTCCCAGCCACATCCCACACCCAGCCCGGCTCAGTGCTCTGGTACCTGGATGTACTCCTGAACCTGCTGGTGCCGCTGCTTGGCGGTGGAAAGCTCACTGTCAGAGAAGGCTTCCCTGAGGCTCTGCTGCGAGAGGAGGGACTCCAGCTCCAGGAGGGCGGACACCTGGCAGTACTGCGTGATGAACTCCCGGTCGTACGTGAAGAAGTGCACTGAGGGATGAAAGAGAGGAAGGGAATGAAAAATATCACGTCCCTATGGGTTCCTCTCCTCCTGCCCAATGCAGAAGGGAGGCAATGCTCTCCTCTAGCTGGCCTGGAGCAGCGAGGAGCCCCCAGCATCCCCCCCTCTGTCCTGGGGGAACACAGACAGCCCATCCCAAGAGGAGAGCACCATGGATAGGTGTGGGCAGTGTGGGTCACCCCTCTTCTCACCCAGCTCGAATATCTGCAGTGGCAGTGTGAGGAAGCCAGACTGTGGAGTGTAAGGGTTGTTCTGGCCTGGTGCTGTGCAGACGTCGTCTGAGGGAGGCAGCAGTAGCAAGAAGGAGACCTGACCCCCAAAGTCCAGCACCTCTTGGCTGTACAGACGGAAATCTTTCGCCTGCAAGAGTCCGTCCAAAAGACACCGCAAGTAATGGCTGAAAATGTCACCTCCCGTGTCCCTGGACCTCGGCTCCCACCCGCACCTCTTGCAATGGGATGTTGACGAGGGCCATCAGCTCCTTGATAGCCACCTGGAGCTCCTGAAACAAGTGGTTTGGTGATGTCTCATTCTCGGACTCCACAGAAACGGGTTCCTCCATGCTGGCCATCTTCTGCAGCCATTCCCATTCCTCCCTGAAAGACAGCAGGCAGACATATGCTGGATGGAGCAATTCAGGTGGCTCAAACAAGCAATCCCAATGAGAGCCGTGCTGGCTCAGCTGCTCCACTCTGCATGGCATTCCCCTCCAAGGGACAGCAGGAGACCTTGGTTTACTCCATGCCCACATGGCAGGGATGGAGCTGAGAAGTGATGCTGCTGCTTCCCGGAGCCCATGAGCAGGAGGCAGAAGCCAAGGATGCTCTAGGGCTGGAAGAGGCAGTGAGGCCCGGCTGCCCCCAAAGCCCCACCTGGAGATGTTGGGGTTGGAGCGGATCTTCACATGGCACAGGATGTTGGGGAGCTGCTCTGGCACGAGCACTCGGATCTGATCCACAGCACTGCAGAGCTTCAGGTAGCCCAAGTAGAGGCCCGGAGGGAGGGCATGGCTGCTCCGCTGGTGGTAAGCCAGCTTGTCCTGGGGAGACAGGCACTGCTGGAGAGAGCCAGCCTTTGTGGCAAGGTGCTCTCAAGCCCTTGTGTCCCATGGGACAGGCCAGGACAGCCTTGGAGCGCTGGTCAGGACCAGCAGCTGTGCCCCCAGCCTACTCTCTTGTTGTGGAGCAGCACCTGCACGGAGATGAGCAGTGTGTCCAGGGCAGTGGGCTCCTCCGGGGAGGACACAGACTTGCGGCTCGTCTGCAGCTTGCAGATGGGCACCCAGCGCACGCTCTCAAAGGTCTGGTTGGTCTTCACCTCCTTCAGGGTGACAATGAGGATGTTGCCCTGCTTGTCTTTGATGGGCTCAAAGAAGACTTGCCCCAGGTCCTGAATGCCCAGCAGCCCCTGCACACAGCAGTGAAGGACAGGAGAAAGCAACAGGTCAGGGAACAGTGCTCTGCTGCTGGAAACCAGTCCCAGAACAGTCCTCGGTCCCTCCCTACGCCATGGAGCTAGCACACCACTGTCCCTGTGAGGGGACCCACTGGTGATGACAAGGTGATGGCATCACCTGCTCCTGCTGACCCAGCTGCAACTGGTTGCACTGGGGACTTTCCCACATGCTGCTCCAAAGGAGCCAGCTACCAGCACCCCCAGAAAGCACCCTGTGAGGCAGCAGGCACAGAGTGCTGCGCTCGCTCCCACCCCCCCACCCTCACCTGCATTTGCGAGATGGCCAGCAGCATCTTGAAGCGTGTCTGTAGGATGCAGGAGCAGGACGACTGGGAGACGGTGACGCACTGCCGCAGCCACAGGATCTCGTCCCACATGCACGACACCTGCAGCACAGGCAGCGGCCATCACTGCCAGCCAACCCAGCTGAGCCACCTCCCACAGAAGTGCTTTGAGCAAAGCCACCTCCTCGCCATTCACACTGGGATGGGAAGGTGCATGTGCACCCTGTCAGCAGCAGGGGTGCATTTTCTTACACCGAAGGCACCCCTCCTAAAGAGGTTTCTGCCAAGAGGGTGTGCTCCCTCTTTCTCTCTTGGTAGATTAGGACCCTCCAGCAAGAGATTTTGGGCTTGAGCAGCCCACCCGCCTTTTTAGTGAGATCTGAGGCTCAGGCAACAACATCCTGCTCTGCATGGGAGAGGCAGAACCAAGGAAGAAGCTTCAAGGAAGGCACCCTGCAGTTCAAGACACCCCTGGAGAGCATAGCATCCAGTGTGGTGGCTGCCACCATCCAAACAGTGCCTGGGCTGGTGGCCTTTGAGGGAGGAGACACAGGCTGCAAGCACAGCTGCCACACCACAGCACAGAGCACGGGACCGTGGGGCCACCTACCTTGGTGAACCACAGAAAGTCCTGCATGAGCAGGCAGGAGTAGGTGTCATCGATCTCCACCACAGGTATCTGGTCTTCGTGGGTCACCAGGATGTTGTCATCCTTGTAGAAGATGGCTGTTAGGTAGAGGCCCCTGCATGGGAGGACAGACAGGCTGTGGAGTCACCAATGGCACTGCTTCCCCCGGAGGGCAGAGGAGGTGTCCATGGGTCTGAGCTCCTCTCCAGCAGCCCATAGGCAGTGCACCAGAAGAGGCACTTGTGAGAGAGTGGCAGCAGGACCAGGAACTTGCATGGGCAGCAAGGTCAGCCTGGCTACCACCATGTCTGGCACAAGCAAGGGAGGTGTGGACAGGCTTGAAGCAAGAAGGTGGGAGGGCGGCAGGGTCTGGAGGACGGCGAGGTGTTGGGCAATGGAGACGTTATAGGGATTTGGGTACAGGCATAACTTGGACGGTCCAAGTGGAAACATTTGATTTCCAAGAGATGGGATTTGTCCCCATGATGGCATGAGACCCACCCCAAGCCCTGGCTGGGTAGTCCCATGTCCCTGTGGAGTGAAGGGCTGTGACATCCCTGCACATGAGCCTCTCACCGCTTCAGTGTCTTGAGGAACTTGCTGCCAGGGTGGAAGAGGTGCTTGAGGCTCCTGGAGACTGAGTGCTTCCTGCTCTGGGGCTGGTTCTTGCAGGGCTCTGCAAGGCAGGAAGCAGAGGCATGAGAGCAAGAGCAGCTCTGGAAGCCCAGGTGAAGGATCTGTGGGCTCTTCTTGTGCCTCCCCTGCCTGAGCTGCCTCCCTTCTGCACCCACCCCATTCCTATGTGCCATCCCAACCCTTTATGCCGTATTGTCTGACACCCTGCAGGGCCACGACGTGCTGCAGGCTCACCGTGGCAAATGCAGTGCTGATGGACGGTCTTCACCTGGCCCAGCAGATGGTCCAGAGCTTCAGCCTGGCCCCTCCGTCTCGGAGCCCGGCCATCATACTCCCGCCAGTCTGCAGGGACAGGCTCAGCGTTACCCCCATGCAGCCCTTGCTGAGGGGCTGCCCCATCCCCCGTACCCCAACAGGGCAGGGAGTCCCCTCTGCTATATTCTCTGAGCCCCCACCTGCAGTACTGCATCCAGCTCTGGCCCCAGCACAGGGATGTGGGGCTGGTGGAGGAGGGGATGGAGGAGGATGTGGGGATGTCAGAGGATGCAGCACCTCTGCTATGGGGACAGGTGAGGGATGGGGGTTTAGCCTGGGGAAGGGGAGGCTCTGGGAAGACTTTACAGTGGCCTTCCAGTGCCTAAAGGAGGTTACAGGAAAGCTGGGAGGGACTCTTTTATCTGGGATGTGGTGACAGGACAAGGGGGAATGGCTTTAAACTAAGAGATGGGAGATTTAGGTGAGACGTAAGGAGGAAATTCTTTTCTCAGAGGGTGGTGAGGTGCTGGCACTGCTGCCCAGAGGTGCCAATGGCTATGGATGGGCCCTGATCAGTTTGCTCTATGGGAGCCCAAAGGGTTGGAACCAGATGGGTAAGATCCCCCCCAGCCCAACCCATGCCATGATGCTGAGGATCTACTGTCCTCTCCCAGGCAGCAGGACCAGGACATGCAGCACATCTGGGGACCAAAAGCCACCCTGGGGGCAGTGCTGCCACAAATGGGGCAGAGGGAGTAAACCAGCAGCACCCCAGGGCCACCAGCTGCCCTGCAGCGGGGGGGATGGCAGAGGTCAGGGACAAGGTCTTGTCTGTTGCTGCCACTCTTCACAGGGCTTAAAAAATCAAACACTTTCCAGTGCCTTTCTCCAGATCTTCCCTGGAGCTGCAGCTGAACATGGGGTTCCCAGGTAACATGGCTGAGCTCCATGGGACCAGGACAGGGCAATAGCACTTGTACACTAACTGCTTTGCACACCCCCTATCCTGCCTGCTGCTGTTTTCCATGGAAAATTCAGCTCTGTTAACTTCAGCTGAGGTTGACCACTATTTTTAGGAGCTTTAAAAACACCCAGGGAGGTGCCTGACTATATTCTGCTGGCCTGGGGAGGGATCCTTAGTGAGGGGAGAAATATTAATGGAGATAAAAGCAAGAAAAATCAGTTATGTCTGATTCATTTCAGCTGCACTCTGTACCATGCAGATCTGACCTGTGCTGGACAGCAAAGGGATTGCAAGGGAGCAAACATCAACAATACCTACCAGGGCACAGCCAGCCTGCTGCAGAGCTGGGCAACCCATTTATACATCAATGTGTGTACAAATGTAAAAGAGATGCCACAGGCTGGAGGCAGCATCCCCCAAAGGGCAGTGCTGAGTGCCCTATGGCTGAGCCCCACAGCCACTCTGCCCGATCCAGGGCCAATCAGCAAACTCCATACATTGAATCCAGCTCTGAATCTACCCCTGCTCCACGAGACCTAACACCTCATCCCCAAAGCTCCCCCTCCTGCCCCATCCCACAGCCAGGTGCTGTACTTACTGGAAGGGATGGCAAATGGGGGCACCGAGGCTTGTGGGGGTCCCCAGCCCTTCATGTTGTAGGCAGACACCTGGACATAGTAAGCTGTGCCCTGTGGGGGGAAACAGTTCTCAGGATGGTGGTACTCAGCATATGGGGCAGGTAGGTGGGGAGGAACCTCAGAACACGGCAAGGAGCACAAAACTGGACCTCACAGCCACGTACCCAGTCTGACCACCCCCAGCATCACTGCACATGTGATGGAGGGCTGGGGCATGCTCCCTGCCCAGGGCTCTGTCCCATGCTGTCCTTCAGTGGAACAGGACAGCAGCTCCCAGACTGCGGCACTGCTGGCTTGTCCCAGTACCCCATCCCTCATAGAAGGCTTCATCCCACTCTTTGAACCCATCAGTGTCTCCCTACCCCAGAGCAGGGCGTGCTGAACCCCCTTCCTATGCTTCCCCTCATCTCCACTTCTCCCACTCTGTCACCACCCCCCTGCCCACCAAGCTGCCCCCATGTCCACCTGCCCTGCACACAGAGCCCAGCCCCAAGGCTGTCTGCACTCTGCTCCCCCCACAGCCTGGCTCCCAACTCACCGAGGTCAGCCCACGGATAGTGTAGTGCAGACTCTTCAGCTTGTCCACCACGGCCTCCCCAGCCAGCGGTGAGAAGGAGGGGGAGCAGCTCCACTCCACTGCAATGAAAGACCCCGAGGTGCTGCATCCATGGAGCACCAGAGGTGAGAGGGGACAGGGAGGTGACCAGCCAAAGCAGGGGGACGCAGCCAGGATGAGTGAATGGTGGGCTGCAAGCTGGTGGTGCTGATGGGATGGATTTTCCCAGAAGCCAAAGTATCTGTTTAAATGGGTGAGGGGCACAGAAGCAGATGCAAACCCCACCTGGGCACTGCTCTGGCAGGATCCAGTCTGATAGTGGTAGGACAAGGGGGAACAGTTTTAAACTAAAAGAGGGGAGATATAGTTTGGATGTGAGGAGGAAATTCTTTACCCAGAGGGTAGTGAGACATTGGCACTGCTGCCCAGAGCTGTGGGTGCCCCATCCCTGGAGGTGCCAATGGCCACAGGTGGGCCCTGGGCAGCCTGAACTGGGAGAGGGGGGGGGCATCCAGTCCATGGCAGGGGTGGGGCTGGGGGGGGCTGCAAGGCTCCTTCCAAGCCAACAGCGCTGTGATACTGTGGTTTTATGACTCAGAGGAGCACAAGCATGGCAAAGCCATGTGCCTGCAGGACGAAATGGTAGAAAACAAGCAGCTCCTTGAAGTTTGCTTTGGTTCAGGTGGGTGGTTTAATCCAGCTTGGGCTGTTTGGCTGGAGGACGTGCCATGCCATGACACCCTGCAGGGCAGCGTGCAGAATGAGCCCCCATCACATCCCATTCGCACACCTGGGATGCTTGCTGTCGCCATGTGCTCAGCAATGACATGGGACCAGGACCTTACCCTTGTACTTGGTGACGACGGCCGAGTTGACACTGAGGGGCTCACCAAAGGTCACCTGCACCGAGGAGCTGCTGGCCACCGAAAGGTGGACATTAGTAGGAGGGTCTGGCACTCCTGGGGAAAGAGAATGCAGGGGATCACTACAGTGAGAGTGGCCATTCAAACCCCACAGCGTCCCGCTGGGGTCCCCCATCCACCCAAGGGCACCTGCATAGCGAGCCGGTGCAGCCCCACACCTCCTCTCCGGCCCCCGTATGGCCCCACTCCCTCCTCAGCCCTCCTGCAGGACTCACGGGCGTGCTCAAACCCTGCCTTCATGCGCTTGTACAGCCGGAACCGCCACTCCCAGGCCTTCAGCTGCTTCTCCTTCTCCGAGCAGTCGGTGTTGGGAGCCTCGTTCACCACCTGAGCCGTCAGCTCATTGACGCGCTGCTCCGCTTCCCGCACCAGTGTGGAGAGGTGCAACGAGCGGCTCTCCAGGCTGACGACTGCATGGCCGAGGGGAGGGCAGGAGGGATGGGAAGAAGGTGAGGGGAGGGTGATGAGGAGCAGCACCTCTGGGAGCAGCACCTCTGTGCCGGCACCAAAGCTCAGCCCTGAGGCAGCATCTCACTCCTGGGTGATGCTGCTGCTTTCCAGGACTGTCCTCGGCATGCACTCGGTCTCCTTGCTCCCACAGCATCATTACCACTTGGTTCCCTGCTCTGAAATGTGGGGCCAGCACCATTCCCAGATGCTCCACGGCATTCACAGCATGAAAAATGGGCTCTGCTGCTCAAGCTGGAGCACTGGAGTGCAGCACTGCCTGCTCCCACCCACCACACACACACACCCCCAGGAATGGGAGGAAGCCCCCCAGGGTGCCCAAAGCCTCACACTGTCTCCACTGCCTCTGCTTGTCCCCAGGCAACTCACAGTGCGGGCTCTCCTTCGCTCCTGCCTGCAGCAGAGCCCTGGCGATGGGCGCGTTGTTGGTCATGATGGCGATGTCCAGGGGCAGCAGCCCCTCGCTGTTGGGGGTGTTGAGATCCAGCTCCTCAGGGCTGTACTGCTTCAGCAGCTCCTGCACCCTGTCCAGGTCCTGAAGCTCCACGGCCTCAAATAGAGCAGCATTGCTCTGAAACTGGATGGAGGGAGATCCGTGGGTCGGCTGGGCACAGAGCAGCCTCCTGCACCTCAACACCCCTGATCCCAATGCAGCCAACAATGCTGAGTGATCGTACCACTCCTCGACAGCTCCACTCCACGCACCCATGGGTTTCACAGCCCTCGTAGTGCCACCATCCCCTTCTCCCCTCCTCTGAGGGACAGTGACACTTACCAGGTAGGACTTGCGGGGCTTCTCCTTCTCACCCCGTCCCGCCAGGCTGCCCTCATCGAAGGATGTGTAGTTGACACGGAACTTCCCCGAGAGGTTTCGGTACAGCCTTTTGGCCGCATTTGGTGAGGATGGGCCTGGCGGCTTCCTGGCCTGTGCCAGCTGCAGGTCCCGCATCTGCTGCGTCATTTTAGGGGACGATGACCTGGGGCCGGGGGACAGAAGGCAGTGAGCACCCAGCCAGCAGGACGTGGCAGCAGGCACCAGGACCTGCACCAGGTGTGACTCAGGAGAGCCGGAGCCCCAACCTGTCTCCAGCGCTCAACAGCCATTCCTCAGCTTCCGAACCTAATTTCACTCTGATTTAAACACCAAGCAAGGAACAAGCACAACAAAAGCCCTGCAGCAGTCTGGCAGGTCGTGGCACAGTGGTACTGCAGAGCTGCACTTGAGGCGATGGTGTTTACAAAGCCATCACCGAGAAGGCAGGATATCAGCACTGACATTGCTACATGCCCTCTGCCTCTGTCCTATTTCCTCAACAGGCTGCCAAAGTCCTCTCATTTCACCTTTTATGACCGTGGCATCTAAAAGTGGTGAGATGGGGAGGCTGGCTCCTGCCCACCTCTCATCTTATCGGCTTCAGCCCACGGATAGAGAGGTCTCCATGGATGGAGCAGGCAGCTGTGCCCACAGAACCACAGCTTAAAGTGAATGGCACTTGAGAGCAAAAGCACATTCCTCTGTCAACTAAAACAGAAGGCAAACGACCCAGCGCAGGCAGAATGCACAGTTTGGAGGCAATTATCTCAGAGACACTAGAAACAGAGGAGATACAGGGAAATTTCTCAATGTTTTCCTTCATCTGATTTGCTTCTAATGAGAAGTAAAGAGACGGAAATGATTCTGCGCTCCGGAGTGAACTTCTGTCTATATTAAACTGGCTGCGGCGCAGATAAAAGGGTTCCGTGCCCTGTGGCTGTGAGTCATCAGGACTCAGTGAAAGGGCCTTGATTTATCTAGAGCTAAACTCTGCGGTGGAGCAACTGATAGCTGCAAACTACGCCCACGAGCTACAACCGGCCGCAGCAGCGTGCCCAGCAGCCGGGCTGTGTGCTGTGGGCATGCAGCACCGAGTCAGGGCCGCAGCAATGAGCTCCTTGCTGCAGCTCAGCTGCATTTATCCCCGCTGCAATCAGGTCTTGTCGCTCAGCTGAGGGCTGCCCCAGGGTCGGCAGTGCACTGACAATGGTTTTCAAAGCGTGTGAGGACGGATGCGCTCAGGACGGCTTCATTTTATCACGCTCTTCCACTGGGTGGTTTACAATGCTGTAGTTTCTGCGTATTCTGGGTTTTCTTGTTTGCAGTGCTGCAGATCTCAGTCCAGTAAGCAGTGTTAATAATTACTGCAATTATACAATTTTAAGCACACTTTGTTGAAGGGCGTGGGCTACCCGGGCTCCAGCAGAGAACCAGTCCGTGTCGGATGGGGCTGCTCCATCCTGAGAAGGAGCTCAAAAGACAGAAGTGGGGAGGTGTTAACTCTTTGAAGGGATGCTGTGGCTTGGGGTGGCAAATATACAGGGGCTGGGGCCCTGCAGGCCTTCTTGTGGCTGCATGGCATGGGGAAGGTTTTGGTGCAGAAGGCACTGCGGGATGTCTACCCTGAGTGCCAGGGCTGCTTTCTTGAACCACTGTCAAACCCAGCTCAAGGTTACCCAGCAAAGGAGCAAGCAAAGCAGGAGAGAAGACTGATGAGCAGCTGTCAGGGAATAGCCAACCCTATGCAGCCAACCTCATCCCAAACTGGGAGAGTGGAACCAAAGGATCAGCCAGCATCCAAACTGGGAGCTGGCACCAAAGTATCAGCCAGAATACTGCCCAAGGGCAGGCATGCAGACCTCTGCCAAAGGGCTCAGAGAGCACTTGCATTTTCCACTATCATCGCCTGAGCACAAGCAATTTTTCAGGACTGGAGAAACAGAGAATGGATCGGAACTGGAGCATGAGTGCCCTCCCAAAACAGTGGGATTTCATAACCCACCCACAGGCAGCCTCAAACCTAGGACACAGCTCTGCGCTTGGCATCCCTGCTTGGCAGCACCGCTGCTGGGAACGGCGTTCTCCAGCCACCTGCACATGGAGGATTTCACAACCAGGCACCTGGAGCGCCGCTGGGCTCCAGCCTAGAGCCAACGTGCTGCTCTGCTGCTGGCCAGGCGAGTCGCAAGCACTGCCATTGCTGCCCAACCCCATGGAACTACAAAGGTTGCTCGCCACATCAGAGCCCTTTTTCCCACGTGCACACACCCCAAAGGTATTTCAGTATTGCGCAGATGTGGGGTGGTGACCAGGCCTGCAAGGATGGAGAACCCCCAACGGCCGGGCTGCCTCTGCCTGCACTGCCGTGTGCCATGGAAACATCTGCACGCCTGGAAAATGCACTTGCTTATTGAAACCTGGGTCCAGGGAAAGGCAGCAAACAAGCAATAGGGCTTTGCTTGTTTGTTTCCTGCAGATTTTCTCTTTTTCCCACTTGGCAAACGCACCGGGTTTTGTTTTGAATGGAGCCGAAACGAGCATGCCTCTTTTGTTTAGCAATAACAACCAACTTATACAGATCCCAATCCCACCAGGACATTTTTGCTTGGGCTTCAAAAGCCCAACGCTGTCAGCCCAGCGCCAGGAGGAGCAGGGTGTCCCTGCACAGCCATAGAGCCAGGCACAAGGACGCGCCCTGGGAGCTCCCGTGTTCTGTCAGGCAGAGCACAGTGCGCAGTGAGGATGCTGGGACCTCCCATGGCACGCGCTCTGAGGCTGGGAGAGATGGAGCCTGCAGGTCAGCAAAAACGCCTGGACTCTGAGAAGGGTCTGGAGCCAACCAAGTAGATCACTTGCTGGCAGCCACAGGAGGCCTCCCATAAAACACACCGCTCCCGCCAGCCGAGCAGTAAATTTGGGGGCAGGAAGGGAGCTGAGACACTCAAGCAAATTCTGTTGCAACACAATTGCGCTGCCGACGTTTCTTTAGGGGTTTTATGTTTTTGTTTTTTTTTTTTCCCCCCTGCATTGTTTATTTATTTATTTGTTTTAATTAAGCATTCTGATCGGGGGTTTTAAACGAGCCCAGAAGGAGCCTGTGACTTAACTCCCAGTAATGGATGACTGCAATTAGACTTCCAGCTCCTCGCTCACCCATGAGAGCCTTCCATTCCAGCCGTGAGGGCAGTGGGTGCTGCTGCTCTGTGTGCCCACGCACGGCCCCTCCGCACAGGGCAGGGTCTGCTCCCTTCTCTTCCAGGAACCCATGCCTGGAAATGCTGCATTTCTGCTTTGGCACATCCAAGGTCCCGAGGTGCGGGTGCTGCAGGTTGCCGAGGGGCTGCGGGGGGCAGCTCGGCCCCATCCTGCCTCCATTGAGGGCAAATGCTCTGTGCTTCTGCAGTGCAGCCCTTAATTGCTGCTTGACATGAAGTATCTGAGCGAGGAAGTCTTGGGTAAATGTTCTTGCTATGGGAACACACAGTGCTGAGTCTCTTTAATTACATTGTTTTTGTTTGGCTTTTTTTATTAGTTGCTCTGCGGCTTCCCCTCCCTGACGGGCCGAGAAGCTCACGCTAAATATGGCCGGGCTTAGCGGCCGCGCTGAAACCCGAAGCGCGGCACCAGCCTGGCTGGATGCGGCCGGACAGGGGGACGGGGGGGACGCATTCCAGCGGCCGTGGCCGGCTCCGACCCGCGCCGCTCCGGGCACCTCCACCGCCCTGAAACGCATCCCGTGCCCTCCCATCCTTCACCCCACGTTCTGCACTCACAGCCCTCCTTCCCCTCGGCAGCATCCCCCCAACCCGTGCCCACCGCTGCCGGCACTGCTGTCACACACCTGCTGCCCTCACGCTGCCCACCGGGCACAGCGCTTTCATCTCCCCCCCCCCCCCCCCTCCCCCCCCCCCCCCCCCCCCCCCCCCCCCCCCGTTATTTTAAAGGCATTCCGGAAGATGCTGTCAGGCTTCGATGTGGTTTGGTTGGGTTGTTTGTTTTCGTACTGGAGGTTTTATGATCACATTGGGAACGAGCCCTAATTGAGCTGCAATTCGAATTGCAGTCCGTGGGTATTTGTTTCATTTTTGGAATGGCTAAAGCTGCAGCACAGCTTAGGCTGGAGAACGCATTTGGTTTTAACTGGAACCTGATGGGGATGGGGCTGAGCGGGACAGGGCTCTGCGGGCCACGGCCGACTCATGTTGGGAAACCCAACTGGGGACAGCAGCCCCGCAGCCACCTGAACCCACAGCACTGCCCAGACACGCATGGGGCAGCTCACAGCCGCCCCGCACACCTCACAGTGCTCCCAGCTGCTCCAGGAGCCGCAGCAGAGCCGAGCTGCTCACAGGCAGCAGGCGGGACCTAAAGGTCAGCACCCAAACTGCCCTTCATGGGATCGGCACCGGTGTCAACTTCTGCTGACTGCCCAGCGCCAACTGCCAGGCCCCAGCACTCCGCGTACACAGAGCTTCTGGCACAGGTAGGGATGGGAAACAGAGGGATTCCCACGGTGCAGGGGTCCATCTGAGCACCGGCCTCGCACTGCAGTGTGCTTCCTGTGCTCCCATGGGTGCTGGGATGCTGGAGTGGGTGGCGGTGCTGGGGGGACGCCCCGACCCGCTGGCACCATCCCGGCTCAGTCCGACTTCCGCATATCAAAAGCGGATGAGGAGCGGGGACTTAGTGCCTGTTTCAGGAAGAAACCCAATCCCCGCATGGCCTGCCAGGAACAGGCAGCGCTCTGTGCCACAGATGCATGTGTGCAAACTCTTCTCGGGGGTATCAAATGCAGGAGCTGAGTCATACGACGCCTGGGCTCAAAGATCACTGAAGGCAAAAGGAGGGGAAAAATTCTCTCCGCGGGGTCACCGGGCCCCCGCTGGGCCCCCCCAGGGGAAGAGCTGGGATGCTGAGCTGAGGACACATGGCCGCTGTGCTGGGAGGGGTGAGAAGGGCACTAAGCCATGCGCCCCCACAGCTAATGCCATCCCATGCTCAGCTCCCAGCGAGGCCAGAGGAGCTGTGGGGCCAGCGGCTCCATCACAACACTGTATCATTGGGATACAGGGCCATGGGGCCAGGCGGCATGCAGGCCCCCCAGCTCCTCCTAGGCCAACTTGCAGGCTGGGCTGAGACCTGCAGAATTGTCACAGCAGTGCC